AATATATTTCTTTTATCTTTTTTTTTTTTAAAACAATTACATAAACGAACAAAAAACGCTTCGGCGAATTTAATTAATATCAAAATTAATTAATTTTTTGTTTACATAAAAAAAAATAAAAAACAAAATTCTATCAAATAATAATAATAATAATTAAGTCAACGAGACGAATGGACGGAAACGTCAAATATAAATATATATATATATAGGTATATTTATGTACTCTCACACGCACACACACACACAAAAAACATAAATAATTATTTATACATAATTTTAATTGAGAATACTGCTTTTGCCAGTTTTTTTTCTTACAAAGTTGATAAACAATTTTCTGCTTCAGGACTTTAATTTAAAATGTGTCAAAATTTTACAATTATTATTATTATTATTGTCTGTTTGTCTGTCTGTCGGCTTAAATAAAAATGTCAATTGGAATATTCAAAAAATAATTATTATTATTATTATTATTATTATTGTTTTTGTAGTCAAGGCCTTTAGGAAATTTCTCAAGTCACAATGGATTTCCTGTTTTTTTTTCTTTAAATCGTCACATTAATGTATGAGAAAAAAATATTTATCGATATTTTGTCCTTGACCATTTTTTTCTTTTCTTTTTTTTTTCTTTGTAAAGGCACACTCATATGAAAATGAAAAAAAAAAAAAAAAAAGAAAATTCACATGATGATAATAATAATAATTATTATTATGCTTTGCTTTCCTGTTCGATTGTAAATCTTGTTTGTGATTCTTTTAAAAATTTTCTTTTCTTCTTTTGTATGTTGGCTTCTGTAAAGAATAAAACGCTGGAAACAATGGAAGCAACACATCCGACAACTGCAAGACCGAAAGACCAACCAAAATAATTATTGGCATGTTCAGGCATCCAATTGTCTGTATTACCCAAACAGGCAAATATAATGACAGCCAATCCTCCGGATAAACCTGTTGACAAGTACATATTTTTTAAAATTATTATTGTTAAGTCTCTCTCTCTCTCTCTCTATGTATGTATTTACCTGCGCCCAATAACATGAATGCAATTATTGTTATTAATTCGACAAATCTTGTTTGATCCGGACCACAGCATAAAAAGAAAAGTAAAATAAAAATAGAGAAATCATGACTCCGAGAAATGATAAAGTGTAGAAAAATTGTGTGGCAACCATAAATGCTAAAAAGAAAATTGTTGTTTATCTTTACACTAATAAGGATATTCATAATAATATTAATTCTAATGTTTTTCATTATAGGCGTCCCTTTTATATATATACAAACATTCAGGTACACCTTATATGTGTCACTTACATGGTAAAAGGTAACCTCTTATTTGATCATATCCAGTCGTAAATGGATCATAAACCCATCTACATCCAACGAAAAATCTTTTTTGATATTCATCATGAGGATCAGGTAAACTCCTAACAAAAAAAAATTAATAATTAATTATTTAACGGTCAATCGTTTTAAACGATATTTTCGTTAATTACCTAAAACAATGAGTCCACAATCCCATTTTTTCAAGTTTTGCTCCAGTAATTCTATAATCGCTAACGAGCCAACTCGGAGAACAAAATGCAACAAATGTCGTCACGAGAGCAATAACAAAAACTCCAACCGCCCAATTTCCAGCTAAACTTCTTTTCTTTGCCATTTTTTTTTATTAATTATTTTACAATATCGATAGATTAACATGACCTGAAAGAAATGTTTTGTTTTTGACAAATTCTTTTACCATGCTGAATACCACAAAAATTTTATGTTGGCACGAAACGAATAAAAACACAACCGCCATTACAGGCACGATATAAACAATATTGTAATAATAATAATTAAAACGAAAAACAAAAACTTGAGAATTATTAAAAATCGTTTTTTTTTTTTTTCATTAATCGTACTTACAAGTTTTAAAACATTTCTTTTATAGATTTTTAATCAAAACTAAAAAAAAAAAAAAAAAAAAATGTATTTTTTCTTGTTTTAGCCGACGCCCCTTTTGTAATAATAATAATTGTTAAAATGATTTCTTTAGTTAGGAATGCAAATGCAGGCTCAAATCACGTGACATGTGGCGCTCCACAGCGAGATCTATATTAAACCTACGCAGTTATGGCAGTTAATTCGCGCGCGCGTCCATTAACGGTTCCAATGGATTTTATCAGTTAAAAAAAAAAAAAAACTTTTCACCAAAAGTAAAAGTAAAAGCAAAAGAAGAAAAAAAAATGAAATTATTGATTTTATGCTAATTGACACTTACGAAGGTAAAAACATTTTTTTTTTTTCCATAACATTAAATTTTCATACGTAATTTATTCACGTTTATTATTATTATTATTATTATCATTTCAAAGGGTCATTGTTGTGTTAAGATTTGTGGAAAAAAAAAACTTTTCTTTTTCCCATCGTATTTAATCGAAAAAAAAAAAAAAAAAAAACTTGATTCAAATGTAATTTTTATTTATTTATTAATAAAAAAAAAACAATAATTTAAAATAATATTATAAATTTATGAATGAAATGAAATTCGGGCGTTGGGTCGCCATGTTTGTTTAGCATTTAGCACATAATTTTTTTTTTTCTCACAAATTTGCCAATTTATTTATTTATTTATTTATTTATTTAATCAAATATTGCTTATTCGATTTGTTAAAATGTTTTTCTTTTATTACATAATAACGAAAGTTTTATGAATGCGTTAATTATTATTAACAATGATGTTAATTAGTTTTTTTTACAAAATATTTATTCTCAAGGTTTTATGTAAAAACAATTTAAATGTATCAAAATAGAAAGTATTATCATCATCATCATCATTTTTTATATATACATAATCATAATAGATTGTCATATCAATTAAAAAAAACAAAAATACAACAAATTTATTATTATTATTATTAGTAATTTATTATTATTATTATTATTATTATTATTTTAAGTATACAATTTTTCATTTAAAAAATAGTACAAAAACCAATTTATTATTATTATTATTATAAATTAAATTCAAGTATAAAAAATGTACAAATTCAATAATATTAATATTAATAATAATAATAATAAAATTAGTTTAATTACAAAATATAAATTTTAAATCCAATGAAATACAGTCTTGATATCACTACATAAATAATAATAATAATAATAACAAGTCTTTTTATTTATTTATTTATTTATTTATATATAAAAATAATTTTTTTTTTTTTTTTTGTATCACAGAATCCTAAAGATATGATTTTTAATAAGCATAATAATAATAATGATAATGATAAAGGCAAGAAATTTAACATTACAATTAATTAATATAAACAAATTCATGTAAATTTTATATAACAATTACAAATGAGTAGGATTTTTAATAATAACATTTAACAAACAATTACATATAAATATTAAATCGTTATTAAAAAATTGTTTAAAACAAACAAACAAACAGAGCAATTTAAAACCCTTAAAAACAATCCAAAGAAACAATTCCACAGGGAAAAAGGGTTTTACTTTCAAAAATACAATTTGTTGTTTTAATATATTTATATAAAATATTCGATTAAA